GAGAGAGAGAGAGAGAGAGAGAGAGAGAGAGAGAGAGAGAGAGAGAGAGAGAGAGAGAGAGAGAGAGAGAGAGAGAGAGCCAGCACTGGCAACTTCTTTGCCGTCCTGGTACATGAAAATGGCTTCTGAGGTTTCCTGCTCATGTGCCAGCCGTAGGTGAAATAGGCCACATCGTAAACAAACAACACTTCTGGAATTGAATTTGTTTTATGCTCCTTACTTCGCTTGCTTAATTTGAATTGAAATATGAGACACTCGGTATGCTCAACAGAACAACCACCATGATTCAAAGATGTGCGCAGTGCCTTACATGCATACGGGTGCCGAGTCCTATGGTTGCGAGAAGTGTCTTTAAAAAGGGGTTGATCAAAAAGGCCGTTCACAAACTTGTCAGGGCACCAAGGGTGTGTATGGTGTGCTGTCTACTATTCGAGACTGTCCAGACGGTTTGACTATCGGCCCAGCTCCCTTTTTTCTGTAAGTTTTCCCTATCCTTGTTTAACCCATGACACAGAACACCAGTTCCCCACAGGGCCAGGCTCTTATGGTTTGCACAGTCTTGGGAATGAGGCAACGATGTCCACGAACAAGGCAGGCAACCATGCTCCACACGTTCATCGTCCTGATCGTGCGTCCTGATCGTGTCTGTGACTCCAGTGGCATTATGGTAGATGGGGTTCAACTGAAGACTGTGTGCCTTGACTGTATGATGATGTCATTGCACCCCTGTATCCACTCCATTCCACAGAGATTATCCTCATGTCTGATGCTGGTCCTCGACACTTCGGCTGAGATTAAGTAACTTGTAGAGATGTAGGAAGAGCTACTGATGCTTTTTCTATTTTAACACTTTTGTGTGTTAAGGTCTGATTTCGAGGAACGAACGGGGGTAGGTTAAGGCAGCAGCTCTGTGTGTTGATTAGTGATCGCTAAAACGGTCTTTGTGGGTCTTTATGGGGTATGGGGTCTTTATGGGGCTGTAATGAAGCTCTTTTTGGGTCTTTATGGGTCTTTATGGGGCTCATTTGAGCTACTCGACAACTTTGTTAGTTCCAGGGGTTGAAATGATATCTCACAGCTGTGTTCTTCTTGTTCTGCCATCGTCGGCATTTGGCTTGCCCTGATACTCTTCCAATATGTGTTTAAAAATGTCATCGTCTTCACGTTTTTACAGCCTGATTCACCAGCCGATGCCACGGAATGTAGAGTGTCTTATGACAGTTCATGAGTTTGTATTTGTAAGTAATATAAGTCAAGAGTATTTGGAGCTCCAGGTCAGGAAGCCAGGGAATGAGTGTCATAGGGGGTGTCGGAGGTGATTGTCGGGCCTTAAGGAAGGACTCCTTTTCATCATGTGAAGCTTAGCATGGTGTTGATCGGTAACACCCAAAGCTTCGTAACCATGATGTGAAGCTTGGTGTAGCTCTTATCGATGACAGATACTGTTTGTTTGCAGATCGGAATTCAGGCCTTTACGAAGCCAGAGGGGGCTAGGTGCTGGGTGCTATGAGGGGTGTGCGGTGAAACTTAGGAGGGGGGAGGATTCTCAACAACCATGGTAAAGTTGTTAGATTTGAAAAGTGCTGTGGTGTGGATGCTGTCACAGTTATTCATTCCCACGGATATGGATCGATTCTGCATTTGTTGATTATGAAAGTGTTTGCCTTTCTGTGCGGCCTCGACGATTGGAAAATGTCCTTCAGGGTGTTTGCTTTTCTATGCTGGGCTGTTGCTGGGGTCGTCAACGTTCTCTTCTGTCTGAACATGTGCTGTGGTGTGGATGCTGTCACAGTTATTCATTCCCACGGATATGGATCGATTCTGCATTCGCTGATTATGAAAGTGTTTGCCTTTCTGTGCGGCCTCGACGATTGGAAAATGTCCTTCAGGGTGTTTGCTTTTCTATGCTGGGCTGTTGCTGGGGTCGTCAACGTTCTCTTCTGTCTGAACATGTGCTGCGGTAGACGTTTGAGCTTGCTTAGATGCACGCTCATGTAACGGATGATGCAGCGTTTCTGTGGATTGAAGCCGAGGCCTTAGTATAATATTGTGGATGGTAATGGCGAGCGTATGATGAGGATGATGATGCGCATGGCAGGAGATCCAAACTCTTAGGATGTTGATGGATGTGGTCATGCACCTGCACACCATACGCTTTGGGACGGTGTTTGAGATGGACTGTTATCGCCGGGTGTTTGCCACAGCTGCCTTCTGTCCCACTTCAGTGAGTGAGTTCACTACGTCGTCTTGGAAATGGGTGATAAGACAGTACGGCAGGTACGGCAATGGTGGCAAGAGAAGGAAATTCAGGTATTGGTCTTTTTTTTTTAAGCCACAATCCTCGTCATCTCTTGCTTCAAGACCTTGTCCTCCCCACCACCTTTCCTTGCTTGACCAGTCCAGCTTTTGCTTTGAGACCCTGTCCTCCTCGGCTTTTCTTTCCCTTCGCCTGTGTCCATACAGACTTCTCTTTGAATCATGTGTCTTGCGTGTCTTTTGTGACAATTTGATGCCTTGCTGCTCTGCTGCTGCTGCTGCCGCGGCTGTGAGCAATACTGTTCCTTCTTCTGCCCATTGCGCAAGTGAAGGGGGGCAGGAGAGGGGAACCGACAAACAATTGGCCACAAGGTTGATTGATGATAGTGCGTTGATAGCACCTTTGCCAAAGTGTTTAAACCACCATCATGTCCCCTCCGTATATGGGCCCCTGAGTCAGTATGCATGGTTGCTGTGCGCTAGAATGTCAGTCGCCTACTGGCAGCATGTAATGACTGTGAGAAAATGTTTGCAGCCAGTGGCTGTGGTCGGGTTGTGTTGTCCGTGGCTGATGATGCCCTGGGGCACCCTTTGACGTTGGAGGTTTGGAAACGTCAGGGTCAAGCCGGCCACAGGCTCAACAAAATAGTCGTGCTATAGGGGACAATGATAGTTCCATTCCAATTACTTCACTTTCGAAGGGCGGGGATAAGGCTGCAAAGGAAGTGAATGAAAAATGTAAATGATTGGCTGCACTGTTGTTGGCCATGATATTTGATTAGAGCAGTCCTGCAAGGGAGTTGAGTGAGCAGGCACAGTAGTTGATGTCCGCAATAGGCTGTACGCGCTCTTAGTGGATTCAGAACTGCTGTGCAGAAGGCGTTAGCACAAGGCATGGTCCGGCAACTGGCATTCTTTCTTCCTTTCCTTGAGATGTGGACTTAAAAGTGCATGCACCACGGTCTCTGTTTCCTTTCTCATACAGCAAGCCGCAGTCTCTTTCTTCGTTCTTTATTTCCCTTCTTCCGGTACATTTCATGGAGCTGAGAGCTGCAATTGCACGTTTTGATTATCTCGTCCTCAGTTTCTGATAACAGTCTGTCCTTATCTGCAATTGCATTCATGTGCATGAAGACGACCACTTGAGACGCCCTGTCTATGAGTTGAGAGCTCTTTGCGACCAGATCCACTTTGGACATCCTGTGCCTGACCAGGAACAGATCTTTGCAGGGCTGTCTCTGACCAAATCCTCGTCTTTATTTCTGAACGCGCATCATGGACTGCTGAATCAGACTCGGCGATGCTCGTGAAAAACTGCTGTTTTCCTTTCAGGGATGAGTGTTGAGAAGTCTGCAAAGTGCTCGACCTTACAGCAAGCATATGCGTGCATGCCGCTCGCTCTCTGTGTTCTGTGGGTGGATTTTCAGTTTGCCCTCTGTACACTATGCACTCGTTTTCGCCCAGGTTGGGTTGCCCTCGGGCAGCCAACGGATGGGTGGGTCTTTACAAAATGAAAAATTTATGGGAAACATAAATTCACATGGAAGTAATGCAGAGGATGAGAAATTAATCCGCAAACGCACTCGAATGATGAACGCTGAGGAATGTTCTTAGACCTTCTACTGGTTACCTTATGCAGACAATAAGAATGAGTAGACGGACTATACTGCAAATAGATTTGGGTGTCACTACGCCCTTCCTGCCCATACTACAGATAGGGCAGGGCGGGCAGCTACACCGAAATGCTATAAATAGTTCAGCTCGCGGATTGGGTGCAGTTGAAGTATCGAGTATAAGACAGTCATTTGTTCTCAGTCGACAGCAGCAATGAGGGAAGGGATGTTCTCGTTGCTGTAGATAGTTAATGGCCGAGGACGAGTCCAGTGCACTCTCTGCTAATCAACTGTTTTCGACTAGTCCCTCCTGCTGTACTAAAAATAGATGGATTAGGGCACGGACAGGGTACAGTTGAAGCATAAAGTATAAGACAGGTAACTGGTTCTCGGTGACAGCAGCGATGAGGGAAGTGATGGAATCATTGCTGTACATTTTCCATTAATGCCGTGATCATCCCACTACGGCTGTAGACTAGTCCCGTACATTCTGTGTTAATCAACTGTTATTGAATGTGAATACAGAAAGGGCAGACATATTATTGTGTTACTGACATGGCTCTGCTGGCTGTCCTTTGCTGATTACTTTTTTTTTTTTTTTCTGCTTTGCTTGGTGGACGTTTGTTGACTGCTGAACTCTTGTGCATGTCTGCTTCTGTCATTAGGGGATGGTGGAAATGGGTGAGGTGTCCTTTGCTCAGTAGACCTGCACGACCCCGTATGTGTGTTGGGTTGTATGTGCAGGTGTGTTTGTGGGGAATCATTCACCCCATCAATCAATGGGTATGCATGATTCTATGTGCTGCTAGTTAGACCATTAGTACATTGCTGTGTGTAACACAAAAAAAAAAGGGAAAAAGATAAAAAGAAAAGATATGCATGCCCACAAAGAAAAAGAAAAAAAAAGATATGGATTTCCTCGTGGGAGAATCAACCTCTCTCTCTCTCTCTTGTGTGTGTGTGTGTGTGTGTGTGTGTGTGTGTGTGTGTGTGTGTGTGTTGACTTGTGTGCATCTAATCGTGTTTGCTCAGGATGGGCTCTGTTGTTATTGGTGGCGTGAGTGGGGGGTTGGGGGGGGAGGGTGGGGCAGCTGTGTGTCTACAAGTGTTTGCTGGGCATGGTTAGTGGGTTTATGAGTCTGTTCGTTATTATGTTTGTATGTTTTGTACTGTCCAAGGCATGGTGGGGATCTGATGCTGACACCGGTGTTTGGTTTTTAGTTGCTATTAATGGGCATTTCATCCGTGATGTCCGGATTCCTATAATATGGTTGTAGAATTGTGTCGCGGTAGATGTTTGTGAGGTTGCCTTTGTCCGTGATGTCCAGCATGTGTGAGTATTTGATGGGAAAACAGGCACCTCTATTTTGTTTTGTGGATGGTGTGATGTGTGGTGGGGGGGTGGAGGGGTTGAAGTAGAGGGGTGAACTGGAGGCAAGTGCTCAACCCTCACTCATTGTGTAAGTGGGCTGTGGTAATGAATCCGTTTGAAAATTTGTGGCATTGGTTATGGTATCGGAGCAGCAGTCGGGAGAGTATAAGCGTGTGAAGGTAGACGAAGAGGCAACAGCTTCATCCTCCACTTCAAAGGCAGGGCCAGGGACATCGGGAGGGAAAGCAGGCGTTGATGACCGAGGAGCAGGACAGGTGAAGGCATGCGGCCCTTCTGCCCCGGAAGGGCAGCCTCAAGGTCCACGCATGGCATCGGGGTCAGCTTTGGGGAGAAATCACTCTGCATCCAGTACAAGCGCGGTCGCAAGCGGGATTGCGGCCCCTAGTGCGAGCATGGTTAGTGCCCCACACCGTGCAGGTGCAAGTGGTGGAGCCGTTGCTGTCGATCAGCTTCCGAAGGAGATGCACGAGATGAAGATCCGAGACGACAGGGCTGAGAATGGGGGCGACGATAAGGTGAGGCTATCAGAGCTAATGATGCATGTTCTTTCTCCATGATTGCATGTGCATTGAACCAATGGGCAAATACCTAGGCAACCCTTCCAAAAAGGGTGCCATCATTGTTTTCTATTGTCTCTCCAGAATGTACTGCAACATCTGAATTCACTGTAGGGTGTTGCTTGCTTGACATGTTCAGAGTTTGGAACCCTGTGGCGCATGCCCTTCGGAAAAGGGTGCCATCCAGTGTTGCATACCGGGACGGTTGGTGCCCTTTGACGGGTCGGCTGCCAACCAGCCGACCGGTTGGCTGGTCGGTACCTGCCGGATGTGGGTCGTCGGCGCCCCACCAAAAAGAAAAAATAACCTCACCAACACCCTCATACCCGCCCCCCATACCCGCTCCCAATTCCCTCAAACCCCCCGCCAACACCCTCA